ATTGAAATATATTCAATTATGGTATTTATTTGGTGTAGGATAAAGAAAAAAATATCTGGGGCTGCGAAAACTTAATTAGAAGACACACTTAAATATACATCATACCAAGTGTGTTATATTATAATATACAGTCATACCTTGGTTGTCAATTGGAATCCGTTCCGGAAGTCTGTTCAACTTCCAAAACGTTCACAAACCAAGGCATGGCTTCTGATTGGCTGTTTGGCCCCGGAAACAATGCCGACAGCCGAAACGGACGTTTGGCTTCCAAAAAAATGTTCACAAACAGGAACACTTACTTCCGGGTTTGCGGCATTCGGAAGCCAAAACGTCCGAGTACCAAGGCATTTGACAACCAAGGTACAACTGTAGTATAGTATATCAGGATATGCCAGCCGGCTTGATAAGGTACCAAGTTTTTTGTGGGGAAGCTATAGAATGAGACATCAAAAAATGGTATTATATATGGTATTAGGAAACCTCAGAGCTAACAGACCAGAATTCCTGGCTTAAACTGCTGATACACCAATCTACATCTTCATAGCATGTAAACACCTTATAAAGAACAAAATTCATTTGATTTCTACTAGTGCAGGGCTATGCAGATTTACTTGGGAGTTTGTCGCAAGTGTGTGATTTACTTATGACTAACCAAACACATCAATAGGCCAAAGTAAATAAATAAAACAAAAAAAGTTTAGGCAATACTTGAATGTATGCAATGTGATAGTGCAACACAAAAAGCTTTCATTACAAACCTATAAAATTGTAACTGATACTTCTATTCTCACCACTAATTCTAATGCAACTGATTAGGCTTAATTTTTTTCAAAATAAAACAAAACACAAATCACCACTGGTAGGTCTGGAAGACTCCTAAGCATTTCCTGGTCTATAATATACTAACTATACAGTGTATTGTTTTGTCTTTTGCTGTATAGCCTAGACTTGCTTGAGTAATGGTGCCTGTAAGACTTTCCTGCATTTTTGCCAGGTTACACAAAGAACTCCTCCTTGCCTATTTGAATTCAAATTTCTGAGACTGTCTTTTGCTTCATAGACTCATCATTTATGCCGTGCTAGAAGAAGCTAATCTTTCTGACATTATCAAGTACTTCCCTTTAAAGTTTATATAATTCAATTAGATTTGTTCCATTTAAACATCTTTTTCCTTCCTAGACTACATAAAATTAAAGTTTCAAAACCTTTTCATTTCAACCCTATCCTATAATCTATGGATTAACCTAATGCAGTCATTCTATGTACCATTTTATTATAAAGAGAGAACTCTGAGCACTGAAATAATGAAACTGCAGAAGGCCATGTACTTCTGGTTTTAAAAAAGCAGGATTTCCTTTTCATCACCTACATTTGAAAGCAGATCTTCATGACTGGGATGAGGAACCCTATGACACTAAATCAGTTTCGAGTCATTAGTAACTACAGAAAACAAGTGCACCTTCTAAAGTTTCCATGGGATTTCCTAGGAGATATATACACAGGTGATTTTCACTCAAAACTGCACAGCATCACATGGCTAGCTTTCATAGGAAACATTCCCATTTCCGTTTTGTTTCCAAGTATCCTTACATTTCACTATTCCATAATCAAAACGGAACAACTTGCTTGTTCATCAGCTTGTTTCCTTTCATTGCCAAAGTAGTGCAGATGCTCAAGGGCTCCCATAAGCCAGCAATCTGAAATTGGGTAAGCTAGTCAGTAAGTTCCATCAGCCCCAGCAAGTATGGCCAATGGTCAGGAATGATGGCACCATCCAGATAGCCACATAGTTCCTTATCCCTGTTATATGGTGGGGGTTTTTTTGGGGGGGGAGGGTGAAATAAGCTGCATGCCAGACCCCTCTAATACCTGGATCCAGGAAGTATGAAATTTATCAAGGCTTCTATAATAATAATAATAATAATAATAATAATAATAATTATTATTTATATCCCACCCTCCCCAGCCGGGCTCAGGGCGGCTAACAACAATAAAATAATACAACATTCTAAAATCATTTCTTTATAAAATTAATTCAAATCAAATTGATGGCAACCATTGGGCTAGAGTTCTGTGAAGATTGCCAAAGGAGGGAGTCAAGCTGTGCCCTGGCCAAAGGCCTGGTGGAACAGCTCTGTCTTGCAGGCCCTGCGGAAAGATGTCAAGTCCCGCAGGGCCCTAGTCTCTTGTGACAGAGTGTTCTAATTCTTGGAATAGCAAGGCTAGCCTCCTGGCGGGGTTATAGTCAAAGGATAAATGGACATAAATCTGATATCAGGAATCACAAGACAGAGAAACCAGTCGGAGAACACTTCAATCTCCCAGGACATTCTATACAAGATCTCGAAGTAGCTGTCTTATTACAAAAGAATTTCAGAAATAGACTGGAAAGAGAAGTTGCTGAATTGCAACTTATTACCAAACTTAAAACCATGGAGAGACCTGGTTTGAATAGAAACATTGGATTCTTATCTCATTGTACATGATAAAGCTATTTTTAGCCATCTCACCCCTTGCTTTTTCCTGTAAGACCAAGTGAAGTTGTTAACAGTCATCAACAGGTTTACCACACCTATCAGCCAATCACCCATTCCCACCACCCTTCTGAGTAATACCCCTCCCCACCCTCTCACTATATAGAAGGGTCTGGTGACTTCTGTTTCAGTGTATCTGAAGAAGTGTGCATGCACGCAGAGTTTGGAGCAGAGGTAGCAGGGGATATCCTCCAACATTCCCCTGATGAAAATCGGGACATGAGAGTGTGTCTTTTGTTGCCGCATGAGTCGGTTGGCTTGTATGGGAGCACAATACCAAAACATATGCGTCTTTTGGTGCTGCGCCCTTGCGAGAGCATGGCACCACTGCAAGCATCAGTGCTGGCTGCAAGCACCAGCTCAACCCCAGGACATTCTGGGAGGAAGCTGGGATGACTTCTGTTATTCTGGGAATGTCCCATTAAAATAGGGATAGTTGGAGGATATGGCAGTGATGCGATCTAGAAGGAAATCAGCAAGCTGGAGAGGGAGGGAAGAGCAATGCTGTAGAGCAATGTTTGATTTCTGTTTGAATCAAGGTTGCTGCTATGGGAGAAACAAGACCCTTTTGGGGTGATAATGCTGTGAACCTCTTCATCGTATGCTCAGGTTGCATGCATGTGTAAATAAATCACAGTCTCCACCATGCCTCATTCTAAAAGGAAACATGAACCCTGGGTAAGGGCCTGGAACGCCTGGAATCTCGCACTACTCAGAGATTGGGGTGGCATGCAACAATATCAGAATAGCTAACAAAAATATGGTTTCATTTCAAGGTTGTTAATCAAATGCTGGTGGTCAAGGAGCAGACCAAGAATGATGGGAATGCAGAGGAAGTTCCTGATTCTTGAATAACCCAACAATAATATTCCCCATCATAATATGTAAAAATACATTTTAAAAGAAACCAAGTTTTGTACATTCAGGGACAACTGGGTACAGCAAACTTTTCCCCCCAGATGAATCATATGTTGTTTAGGAAAAACCTTCATTTTTGCAACCCCCTTCAGAGGCGTTTCGTGAATGGAACCATATACTTGGCTTTAAACAGTTGAGGTTGCATTTTTACAGTGGAAGGGGGTAGTGAGGCATATCACTTTTCCTGGAATACATTTGATACTGCTGTTTTCACACAATCAACAAAACCACAAAACAAAGCTGACAAGCTAGTTCTCCTGGGCTTGGGTTTTCTGCTCTTTGGGGCTTTTGTTGTCTGCCCAAATGTTCTGTGCATGACAGCTAATTTGTGTAATACAAATGATGTTACCTTATAAGCTTTATCTCAGTGGAATGCTAACTAGAGCATCTCTGTGTAAACAAGCACTTGAGTTTATTATCCATAATCCTATAGAACAGTCTTAAACATCGCAGAGCATTCTGGAAACAGTGTTAAGGTTATCAGTTCAACTTTCACAGTTACTTTGTTGGCTGTTAAATCACAGCAGACTGCTACTTGTTCTGTTAAACAAACTTACTTCCATGTAAAAATGCAGTACAGGATCATCTGAAAATCCCTATTCTCAACAGGTTTAGAGCTGTGGAGTTTTTTGAGAGGTTCCCCCCACCTCTGTTTATTGGAATACATAGGATATAAAACAGTTCCAAGCCCTAACAACATACCCCTAATTTTTGTTTTCAGTGAAAAAAGCATCCATTTTTACTTCCTGGAGCTATGGTATTAAAGTTTGGTTGCTGAAACCCATTTTGATAATGCTTGACAGGTGATAAAGCACATTTTACTTTCTACTTCTGGTAGGCTTTATTCCTTTCCATCATGGAATCTCTTACCATGAATCTTTTTTTCTGTTTATAACTGGAATTTATTTCAGCAGAACATCTCCCATTTTAAAAAACAACTATATCTCAGGCATGTTTCAAAATCTACGCTGAAATCACACCCTTTCCCAAACCATAGGACTACAAACAAGAGTTTAACCTAAACTTCAAAGAGAGACTTCACCATGGACATTAAATTTTGGCTCACTACAAAAAGTTTGTCCTATGTGTCGTTGGATCATGGCCAGTGCAAAAATACAGGATCTACAAGAACAGTTTCAAACATGAAGAAGTGTGCATGCACAGAAAGGCTCATACCCAGAACATATTTAGTTGGTCTCTAAGGTGCTACTGGACAATTTTTATTTATTTATTTCGACTACATCACACCAACACAGCTACCTACCTGAAGCTCAAAAATGGTAACATATGTCTGTCAAAAAGCACTGATTTGTTCAACGAATTCTAGATAGAAACAAGGACCATCTTATTGGCTTCTTAAAACTGAAACTGCAGAAACATCTGCCCACATATATGCCACGTCACTTTCTGCTGTCTCAAAATAACTTCAAATAGCAAAAACATGCCTGTTATCCATCTCTGATTAGAGCACCTTCTCACTAGAATTTAATTTCTTAGATTATTAAGCACTTTGCAGCAAAAAAAGGTAACAGAAATTATCAGTCTTACCCTGAGTGTGTAGATTTTGATTCAGTTCCAAATTCTCCACCCTGAGACCTGAAACAGGTAAAAAAAGAAACACAGAGAAAATGTCATCTCATATTGAGGTTCAAAGAAAATGTTTAAATAATGCTAATCACAACACTTCAGCAATAGCAATACAATTAAAAATAAAAGCTTATTTAAAACATTTCCAAACCATTTAAAAATACCTAAAAGCGACTAAGCACAATAAAACATCAGAATGTTATCGCCAGAAATTAAATAGAAATTTCCAGTATTCATTTATTTAAAACATGTATTCTCCACCTCTAATCACAGTCTAAATATGCAGCAAAAATGTGGTGGGAGCATGGCATGCTGTTAGAATGGACCGATGACACCAAGCTGCAGATTCCAGACTGAACTGTGAGGAGAGAATGGACTCCTGCCAGAATTGGCAGTGATGTTCCAAGCCACAGTCCTGCTGGTGCCTCACTACCAACCCCGGAGACTCCTGGTCTCACTCTTCCTCCTTGCTGGTGTTCCCTGTTCGACTGCCTTCTTCCAGCATACAAGTGCTAATGAGAGTGAAGAGACGGGAGGAACTCACCAGGACTCAGTTCTGGCACCTTTCAGATGGGCACCATTGCCATTATAAGAGAACAAGGGAGGTGTTCATGGCGAGTTCTGGCACCTCTTTTTTCTGGCACTGTCTAACATGAATGTATTTTTTTACAGATCTGGGGTAACAGAGTTTGGAGGTGTAAGGACACCCATAACTGCTAGAATTGTTATGTAATGTTAGAAATCAATAAATGGTAGAATTTAGATAATATTTACAATATTGAAGGGAAGATGTCAGATGTTAGATTGAAAAGGCAGGCTAAACCAGAAAATTGCCTGGGGAGAAGGTCCATCAGGGAGTAATAACTGAACAATGGCCAGTCAATGACCCTCTGCCAGAGCTCTGGGCAAATAGAGCTTGGAGGGGAGATTAGGAGTGATTTCACACAGTAAATAATGTGTCCTTTTGAAATTTAGAGGCCATCTTGGCAGACTGGGATAGAACCACAAAAATGATGCCTGGACTACAGTGCTGTACTGCTGGGAGGAACAAGCCCCTCTGGAGATGTACCTCTCCGAACTCTCTTCAAAGTAGACCCAGGTCTAAAATATGTGTACAATAAACCATATTTCTTAAAGACAGTGGTCTCTGTTGTGCCTTGATTTCCCAACAGAAATAGAACCCTGGGTGAATACTTGGAACCCAATGGAGATTTGGGGTGGCACGCAACCCTTTTAACAATATTTTAACAATGCAATTTTGATAAAGGATAATGGAAATTGTTCCAGTTGGGAAACAGATTGTATATGGATAACAAGTAAGTACTACTACATTTCTGAATGAGTCCCATGAATTTCAGGAGAATTCAAGTACAGTGGTACCTCTAGTTACAAACTTAATTCGTTCCGGAGGTCCGTTCTTAACCTGAAACTGTTCTTAACTAGAGGCGTGTTTTTGCTAATGGGGCCTTTTGCTGCCGCTGCGCTGCCAGCACATGATTTCCGTTCTCATCCTGGGGCAAAGTTTTCAACTTGAGGTAACTCTTCCAGGTTAGCGGAGTTTGTAACCTGAAGCGTTTGTAACCTGAGGCATTTGTAACCCGAGGTTCCACTGTATCTGATCAGCCCTGTAGCCAGTCTTCTCTGTTAGGTGAAACAGTCACATTTCTAGGTGGGGCATGGGGGGGGAAGGGAAGTACATATTGCCAGGCCATCCACACTTACTGGTAGACAGGATGTGAGGGCCAGGCCAAGGGAAGTGAAAGGCCTTTCCCCTTTATAATATATAATCAGCTCTCTAAACTCTTTCCAGTGTGGTGTAGTGATTAAGAGCGGTAGACTTGTAATCTGGTGAACCAGGTTCACGTCTCCGCTCCTCCACATGCAGCTGCTGGGTGACCTTGGTCTAGTCACACTTCTCTGAAGTCTCTCAGCTCCACTCACCTTACAGAGTGTTTGTTGTGGGGGAGGAAGGGAAAGGAGAATGTTAGCCGTTTTGAGACTCCTTCGGGTAGTGATAAAGCGGGATATCAAATCCAAACTCCTCCTCCTCCTCCTCCTCTTCTTCCCACCTTTCTGTAAATTACTAAGCCTTTTTGGATTTATGGTATTACTTAGGTTCCCCACCACACCCTTGTTAGGGGCTTCCTTTTGATGCATGTCTGTCTCAGGTTTTGTGTGTTGTCTGCTGAATGAGTCAGGGTTCCTCTGAAGTTATTGGTAATTTCCTGGTTTTCTCTTTATCACCTTAATTCTTGTAGGGGCAGCAGATGCTGCTGGGCAGAATGCCCTCATTCCTAGACATGGTTAATGCAAATTACTTAAGCGACAAGCCTCCAGCAGCCTCAAACATTAGAATTTCTGAAACGAGGAAGAGCTGATACTTTTGTGATGCTATCTTCAACTGACATTGCTTCTTAATTAAAAAAAAAAAAAGGTAACTGATAAGGATGATTGTTTACTAACCAGATCATTGCATTTCCCAGCTAATTTTCAAGTAGACTTTCTACAAAAAAATTAAATAACACAGTAGCTAAAAACAGATTACAATTATGGCTCACTGAATAAAACTGCATCAGTGTGTGCTTCTCGATGTTGGCAAATAGGAAAATACCCCCTGTTCTTTTCTCTTTCTTGTTCACTATCTCTGTTGGGTTCCTGTATCCTTCCATCCATGGAAGGCATTTGATCCAGTGGAGGACCCCTGCAAATGGCAGTGTGGGGCAGCAGCTGTCACTTGCCCTTTGCTTGCCAACATCCCTGTTGCCTACCAGGGACAGAGAGGGGCAGGAATGAAGCACTAGTAGGGTGAATACACACTGGTGGAGAAGCTGGCTGGTGGGGAAGGGGAGAGATGAAACTTTTGCCAATCCCCTTATCCCCTGCAGCCCCGGTACCATGTCCAACACTGTCCTGAAGGAGGGCTTAATGTACCGGTATCTGCTACCTACAGCGAGAATGGTCACAGGGTGAGCAGCTGTTGCAGCCCATCGCTCTAAACACCTACCCCTTGGGAGCAACACCTGGGTTAGGCAGTTGGCTGTTGGGGGACTCTTAGGCTGCCCACTGGGGAGTGGCAGATATCCCTCCCCCATCTGTTTATTTGAATCTTGGCCAATCCGGCAGGGTCAAATGGGTGGGGCTTGGGACCTGATAAAAGCTGTCTGTGTCTGATCTCGGGGTTCATGGTGCAGAAATGTGTGATAACAGGTTACCCTGTTACAGGGATCTAGTAGGAAGTCTCTGTCCAAAAGCTGTGTGGCAGATGGGCCATATAGAGCTTCCTTCAGTGGTTGGGAGGGTTATCTGTGTAGACTTGTGGTTTGCAAAGGACTTGTTAATCCTGGGCTTGTTATGCAACAGCCCTCCACCGGCGGGGGGGGGGGGGAGAGACTTTGAAGAATATTCACCAGGGGTTGGCAAGGTTTACCTCGCCTGGGCCGGTTCACTCAAGTGGAGATCGCTCTGTGGGCTGGATCGCGTCTGCGCAGACACAATTTCCGGCATCTGCACATGTGCAGATGTGATTTTTGGCGCCACAGAAGTGAGTCGCTGCTCTGTGCTGCGCCGGTTTAGGGCCGTGCTTGGGGACTCGCTGAGCGGGCAGCTCAGTTCAAGGGTGGCTCGTGGGCCATTTGAACGACCCCCGTGGGCCGCTTGTGGCCTACGGACCGTAGGTTGCTTACCCCTGATATACACCCAATGCCTAAGCCAAATCCAACCTACATCTGAAATCAATAAAGTTATGACCAATTTTTAAAATCAAAGAATGTTGTCCTGTCCAGTTTGTTCACCTTCTTTACTCAGGCCTTGCTCCCTGGAGGTGTGTGTGGGGTGTGTCACTGCGAGTGTATCTGCAAGTAGTACACACCAAAACGCTACCATCTCGTTCTTTTACCTCATTCTCCCATTTGTGTAATATTTTAAAATATTTAAATGCTGCTCATCATGCTCACATTTCCAGATGGTGTACAATGATAAAATGTAAAACAATAAAATATACAGTATAATTAAAAACCAATAAATGTTTAAAAATAATGAATAACCAAAAAATTCTTAAAGTCATAATGTCTGGCCTCACATGTCAGAAAACACCAAGGTGAATAGAAAGGTTCTCAACATATACTGAAATGATAAATGTGTTGATTCTGGGGCCTTGTTTCTGGGGATATAGATTAGATCTCAAGCTCATATCCATTGTCTTGAAGAAGGAAAAGAAGAAGAAGAGGAGGAGGAGAAGAAGAGGAGGAGGAGTAGTTTGGATTTGATATCCCCCTTTATCACTACCCGAAGGAGTCTCAAAGCGGCTCACAATCTCCTTTCCCTTCCTCCCCCACAACAAACACTCTGTGAGGTGAGTGGGGCTGAGAGACTTCAGAGAAGTTTGACTAGCCCAAGGTCACCCAGCAGCTGCATGTGGAGGAGCGGAGACGCGAACCTGGTTCACCAGATTACAAGTCTACTGCTCTTAACTACTACACAACACTGGCTCTGTTACTACCCATAAAGGGAGGATGAGATATGGAATCTCAAGGGTGCAAACAAAATATTATTAATAGTAGCACTTCCATACAAAACCTTGAACCCCTAGCTATTAACTCAAAATTACAGTGAAAGCTAGATAAGCAGCAGTGAACTATTCAAGGAATATTGTAGTAAAACAGTCCAGATGGCTCAAACCATCATGCCACTCAGATAAAACAACAACAACATACACATATGCAATCAAAGCAAGACAAGTGAAATAATATAATTGCATAAAGTACTATTGCTTCCTGGGGCACAGGAATAAAATGTATGTTTCTTGGAAGCCTTCAAGAAAATACCAGGCAAGTAGATAAATGATCTATACAGTGACTATCAAAAGCCAAAAACCCAAACCACAGGTGCAAAGTGAGAGAGCAATCATTTCTTGGGAGCACCGGAGAAGTGACAAGATATGTCAACTTTATGACACAACCTGATGTATCCCTCCTGAGTTCTTGCTGTTTGCTTGGTTATAAGAGGAAACA